ATGTACAAAGCAACTTGATAAAGTGGATTACGAGTAAGAAAATTGTGAAAAAAAAACTTGAAAAAAGTATAAGGTAGTCCGTTTAAGCTAAATGAGAGAAAATTTAGTGTAAAAAGAAAATTGTAACAAGAACAAACTTGATCAGGGTCTTCATATGACAAAAATGTCTCCCATCCGCCATTCGCCACATAATCTCGTCGTATTAATTCAACATTGTACGGTCTGATCTTGTTGTGGATTTCCTAAGATGCATCATCTCATATAGAAGAAAGCAAGTAGAAACGTTAGAGCAATTAAAAATCACCTGAATGCCAACTTCTCTTGTTCTTACGTCTCGACAAGCTAATCCAAGTTCTTTCATACGTGATAACGCATGCTCACGAAGATTACCATGCTCCACTCCACTTGACACCTCAACAAAATTAGTTTCAGTTGTTAGATTCCTGAGGTTGAGAACTTTGCCAGTAAAATCATATGGAGGCTAAACCTACCAACGGCATGGGAATATCCCGTTGCACTCGATAGACGCGAGTCCAAGGTGGTATTATCGACAAAATCCGAGCGACCAAATCCACCAATACGGATGGTGGGTAGCTCTGAACACTATGCTCAAAATATGTTTAAAGCTATAACATATAGAAATTATGAAAAACAGGAGAAAAAACTGATAAGTTAGACAAAATAGAGTGAGAAGTGTGGTGATGAAAAAACGATAAAGCAAACCAACGAACCTTGTACCTCCCAGTCCTCCACAACTCGTACAATCCCGTACCTCGAATTACAAGTGTGGGGTATAGTTTTAAGCCATCGGGACGGAAGGCTGGGTTCTAAGCAGATCAATTATTGCTATTTCAAAATATAAAGTATTATACTGTAGACTGACCTCGAATAACTCCACAAACTGCTCAATGTCTCGTTCGAGACCAACATTAGGTAAATCTGGCATCATGTGAATCACAACCTTATAACCGGTATCTTTTGACATGTGGAACGTTTCGCAAACTGATTTAACCTAGAAAAGGAGGTGTAAAAAAAGTTACTAGGGCTATACTGATTAAACTAAGCTACAGCATAATTACAAAAAAGAAGAGGGTGCTACGTATTCATTAGGGTGACATTCAAAAACCCAAAAGGCTCACAGTGTGTCCTCTATTTGTGTCTCGCGCGACGTCCTCATATGTGGACTGCACTCCAATCTCAAGCCGTGTGCATCCATACAACAGCATATCATTAAGATGGCGGGGTAAGCAGTAATCAGGTCGCGTTTCAATCGTAATTCCAATGCATTTGATCTTGCTTCGTTCGGAGTAGGCGACGGCCTGGAAGATAAAACTGATGGAAATGAATTTTAAAAGCGTTTGCGTGAACTAAAGAAATTCGAGGGAAAAGAGCTTGATGATTTCTCAAACAATAGTTTTCCCAAAACTATGA